CGATGATAGTAACCTCAACCCCCCCGGGCACGATCGCCTCTCGATCGACGGCCATCCCATCGAACCGGCAATCTCCCCTTGCGTCGTTTCTTTCGCGACGACACGAACGGCCGAGAGCCAAGAGCCCCATGAATCGACCCTTTTCTCGCGGAGCTGACCCGCGCGATTCTCGGCCGGAGACGGCCACGTTTCGATCGATCGTCGTCGCCGGTCGAGAGCTCGCGTGAGCGCGACAGAGACGCCTAGCGCCAAAATAAATCAATAGAATAGCGGAGTCGAGTCGGGAGAGTCGGGAACGCGTGGACGCGCGCGTGTGTGTTGCGCGCGCACACAGAGGAGCATGCGCGTGTGCGAGTGGCGCGCGGAGAACGGGCCAGTCGGACCGCGCGGGACGAAAGGAGAAGCGAAGCGGAGAGTGGAACGACAGCGGGGCGAGAGGGGGCGAGAGGGGACGGGACAAGGGACGGGGAGGAGACGAGACGAGACGAGACGAAACGAGAGGCGAGCGAGCGAGCGAGCGAGGTCGAGACACGCGGCAGCTGTCTGGCGCCAGGGTCCCCCTGTTCCCTCAAACAGTCGCGCCGAATGCCACCCACCTTAGCCGACCTATTGTGCCATTCTGAAACCTGCATCCCGGGAGTCGGCTTTCCCTCTCCGTCCTGCCTCTTACCTACGGCAACTCGCGACCTGTTCGTCCCGAACAGGACACGCTAGGCTTCTTTTCGTCCGTCTCTGACAGAGATTTGACGTCGTTATTTATTATTAATGCCCTTTGTTTCGCGTGGTCGCGGTGCTGCCGCGTCGCGCGACGACCGTGGTGGTTTTGCGTCGGAGGACGCCTGGCTGATGCCAGCGACACGATCGTCTTCGAAATGTTTTAGAATCTTTCCTTATCGTTTATTCTGCTATTTTTAACCACTCCTAGGAAGCAATTTATTACAACGCTTTACCAAGGATTTTCGACAAGTATTCTTTAATAAATAATATTAATAAGTAATTGAAACATTAATGCTGGTAACTGAGAGGTGGGAGGAAGGGTTAGACGAATGTTCTGCCCATCTCTGGTTACCAGGAAGCAAAGTGCCTTGCACAGAAATGTTTTCGGTTATTTTTTTGACACTGTTCGAATTTCGATAGAGCTAATTTGATTTAAGATGACGATGTCTCTTTGCGTAGATGACTTCCATCGGTATGCTAGACTTGTGGTCTTTTGTTTATGGAATGTTGTTTGAGCGACTGCCAAGGGCTCGAAGCGACTGCTCGGAGAGATAGGCGATCGTTGTTTGGTTTGCGTATGTTGATTCGACGAGTTCGGGAGCATTTTCTTACGCAATAGCGTTGTAATCTCTTACAGAAGGGAAATAATGGCATAGCCTCGGTTAAATACGTGAAATTTATTTAGTGCAACGATTATCGGGCGCCGAGGAATATTGTTATAATAGTTATCTCGGCTGTCGCGTCGTTGCACGATTTTGATGCACCGAATGTTTTCGTTTTGCTCGTAAAACCGGCGCAGAAAATTGTATCTCCCAGTTGTTGACATTGCGTAAAATGAAATCGTAAGGTATACAATTGTAAAATTAAAACTGTCCCCTTCGTCACATAAAACATTTTTTTATGACTTCATGACTCTGCGTGTTAATTGGCTCGGTTATGTGTTAGTTTATGTTATAAATTACGCGCGACGATATTACCTTGTGCGCTAAAAATGTCAAGTTGCGTTAAAATATTGTCGAGAAAATTGTTTCGCCGTAATGTTGCCTTTGTATTTAAATGGAATCGAATATATCGAACTGCACGTTTGTATCTCAAAGGAAAAGTATGTTTAGTCTAAATTTTGAGCATTTAATGCTAATGTAAAATTTAAGATCTGTGTGTTTGTGATTTCTCTGTAACTCCTACTATTTTTACCCAAACTAAATCAAATTTTATTTAGTTACTTTTTACGTTCTACTTAATTCCGATGTAATGTGTTCAAGGTTAAAATTAGCAACTTGTATTTTTTCACCTTGGTTCAATTACGACCATTGTCTGCTTACTACAAGTAAGTAATGACACATATTGGAGTACTTAAGTTACAAACGTTATATGATAATTTGCTGAAATGTTGGATTACATTTTTAATTTATGCTGTTGACGATGAATTACCGAGTTAATTATTGTTGTTTGTACATAAGTAGCAAGTAATATACCGTTGTGTATATTTGATAAATAAATTCGAGACGAAGCTGAGAATTCAAACAATGATTCTTCAAATGCGAAAAAAGTACTTGTTATCGTAACAAGAAACGAAATATTTCCCTCGTTACTCATTCCCGATTATCATTTCTGAAGCACGTAAGCAACAATTTTAATTTTTAAAACTATTCAATTCGATCCGTCTCTTATCAAAATAGTCGATCAACACCTAATATTTTAAAATTTGCTTCTAGTCTTATAATAGTTCCTCTTTAAATAAAAATTCTTTTGCCTGCATTTTGATTACTAAAATAAAAAAAAGAAAATGTTTCATTGGTGAGACATTGCTTATATTGGCAAAGACAGATATCAAATGTAATGGTCTCCAAGTGTGAAGAAATTTCGAAACAGGGTAATAGCCCCGAGGTAATGGGGTTGTTTCTACGACAATGGAATTCAAGATACTAGATTGGATCATTAATAATATGACTCAGAATTTTCCTGAATAAGAAATTTGTTTATATAAATTATATCGCCACTTGAATAGTTGAATAATTAATTATAAATTAAAATAGGACTCGCGCGTTCTTTGCAGGGCCATTTTTTTCAATTCCCAACACTAGGTCACACTTTTGCGTGACGCAGTGGCGACGAAGCAATTCGAACATGTCTCCTCCGCCGTAGATAGAAGCAAAGTATGCAACATCGTCAGATAACGGCAATCAAAAGAGGCGTTAAAAATTATCTCACCGAGCGTCTCGAATATTGAGCAATTCGCGGATACGCGTTAGCGTTTTACTTTTTCGCGCGCCTCGCAAACAGCATTGTTTTGCGATGCCAACGCGCGCGTCTCCGACAAACTCGCTAATTTACAATCCACGCCTATGCAAACTTTTCGCGCACGTTGTCGAGGCGGATCGAAAGAACTTTAAGAATTTTCTGAAAAAAGAAGCGTTATACTCACGGTTTCTAGAATGAATTTTCACCGATCGACAGAAGCTTCTACGGTAAAAATAAGTTGGTGGGACGATCCCGAGGGCGGACGGAACTGCTTTTCTCGTTCTAGTCGGTACCAAAAGCGTTTCGGTCGTTCCGCGAAGCAACAAGCGGGGGGAATGGGAGACGGAGAGAGCGAGTAGGTCAAAAAACGACGACTGTGCGAATCGCGGGGTGCGTCATGCGTGAAAACCTGCGCGCGCGTCAGCCCGCTGGAACGTGCGCGCCGAGGAAATTTCTTCGCCTTCGAGCGAGCCGCTTTCGTCCATATTCATGCCTCGTATTTAACGTCGCATCCACCTTGTCGCGCGTCATTCTTTACGAGACGCGGCTTATATTTAAAGCCGGCGATATTGCTCGGAATTATGCAGCCACCGCGACCATTAAATCTTCACCAAGAACGTCGATCTTTGACCTTGCTCTCTTTCGTTGCGCGTAATCGTCGTTTACCACCGAGCGCCGTGCTACGAATTCCGAAGTACGCGATAAGAAATCGTCACACCGCTGACGCTTCGTCGATTCGCCCTGAATCGCAGAATTTGATTTTCAGGTGAAAAAGTCTCGTGTGATTTTATCACTCGCAAACTTTTGTTGTACGATCGTCCCGAAAATCATCGTTCGAAATATTCCATTTGAGACTATCCGCGATAAATGTTTGCCCGGTCCAGGTCAGCAATTCTTTAAAGATCCCACGGAAAGTCCAGCCGGACCTGCAAACCAGTTCAGCCGGGAATCTTTCCGATGGTCTCTGTTCTCTTGGACACGGAAGTGAAAAACGCGGCGAAAGACGAAGAGAAGAAATCGTTCGTAGCATCGTTCAAGGTTAACCACGTGGATATAGGCGTAGCCACCGACCAATGGCGTAGCCTGAGGATCGATCTACCCACCGAACAACCGTTAAGCCTAATGAACGGCGTTTGCGCGGTGTACGAAATTATTCATCGGCCAGCTATTACGAGATTCGTTCGTTCTCTGCTTAAAATGTTTCCTCGATGGTCGATTTACATCATCCAAGGCAAATATTATTGTTGGGGCCATAAATGTTTATATACGACTCGACAAGAATGTTTCGCAATAAAATTACAATAAAAAAGTGTAGTTGTATATGGAATACTTTTCACAATGAAATATTTGAATTTTTCGGGCAAATCGTAAATTTATATATGCATTGTAATATTATAAAAATAGAAATCTGTTTATCAACACTTTGACTGTCGTGTCACATATGGGTGACAGGATTATCCACTATGGAACTAGAAAAATTAATTGTCGAGTTGAGATGTGGGAAATAAATTTGGATAGGATTTGTGGTTTTAAGTACTAGAACAAATTTTAGGGTATTTGGTCTGAAATTAAAATTTTGATCTGAATGTGTTAATGGACGCGTGGGTCAGAAGTGACCCGGTTCCGCCAACCGACCGTTAATAACTTTCAACTTATTTAAAGTCCACCTATTTGGCGGCCGTGGGTCGATCGACGATCAAAGACTCCAACGGATCGAAACGTTTCGTGTTTCGCGAAACTAATATCCCGGCGCGCGCGGAACGTCGAATCTATTCTCGGACAAGAATCCCCCGAGGTATCAATAATAACGATGATCGTTTTCGTGAAATAACATTCTCGCGACGGCGCGGGCTGGACAAGGGATACCCGTGGCTCAAAGGGTTAAGATCAACGAGCTGGAAACGAAGCCGGGGAACGGGTGTCGTTGGCTTCCTTTTCCGATGGTAGGTCGCGTTTTCTTTCGCGCGCAGTAAGTCTGAAGACGCTCTCGCCGCGGATAGACGCGAGAAGGGGGGTATGTATAACCTTGAGGACATAGTTACCTTCTCCGTTGGTGGTAAGGGAGCCGGGAAGTGGCAGGGGTGTGCTGTTTTTGCACCGACGTTGATCCCCTTCGCTGGGCGCACGATCTGAAAATAAACGGCAACCCCTTTAGAAGCTTCCCTCAGCGAGAGACACGCTCCTCACTCATTCCTCCTTTCGCTTTCTTTCCGCCGATTTTTAACCCTTTCGTACCCAATGGGGGACACATACAGTCCATCGCGAAAGTCTCTCTACGATAAGGTCCGTTTAAAGAAAATAAACAATAACTTTGTATAATATTACGTTTACGATAAAAGGTAGAACGACATTAACAACCCCTTGATACGAGCATATTTTCTTTCGTGATCCTCTGCACGAATCATTGAAATAAATCAGTGGTGAAGAATAAAATAATATACAAGCCTGATAAAAATTTTAATGGGAGATTCAAGAGACCAAATTAAGACGAAAATCAAGAATACAAATTTGTTAACCGAGGCTTCGTTAACAAGTTATTAACGGTTAAAGTTCCGCCTGTAGAATGGCAATCTGCGAACACCTGCGCGCGCATGATAGTGGTTCTCGCCGCTCACAGGTGGAACTTTAAACGTAAATAACTTTTTAACGAAGCCTCGATCAACAAATTACTATTCTTGATTTTCGTCTTATTTTAGCCTCTAGAATCTCCCATTAAAATTTTTCCCACGGTTGGCCGATATATGCTGTAAATATAACCCTGTATACGCTGTAAACCTTAAAACTAGAATATAACACGGAGAAAAATATAATTTTGTTAATAAATACGTAAACGAGAGATCAATCGACCGTGACCAAGGAACATCTCTCGTCTTCTTTTTTTCCTGTGTTAATTTTTAGTCGCAGGCCTAACCCTGTTGAATTTCTGGGTGCGCCATTGGCCAGAGGCGATCCACGGCGGTGGGGAGCACCTTACATTGCTGAGCGAGTAATGGTAATGCGCGGCGTTGCTCGTACGAAGACTACCATTAAAAAAACGTCGTTCATTGCGAAAAACCATTTAACAATTTACCGTGACGCGGTATGCGACGCGCGGCACTACCAGGTACTCGGCATGATTAATGGCGCGTGTAATTTGCAAGAATACGACGATCGAGAATACGACGATTAGCGATTTTCAGTGTGTATCGCGGAGATAGGAAGAGGGGCACGCAGTATGTAAATTCGTGGCCCGGTGAATCATAGTTCTCGTGGAAATTCGACCGTCTCGGACCGGCCAGAACGGACCACAAAGGAGGTGACAGAGTCGTCTAAAATAATGATTCGCCGGAGGCAGATCGTTTATCCTCGACGTGGTAGGAAAGTCCTCGTTTAACATTCAAAATGACCAACTAATTCGCTTGTAAGAATGCTATCTACCATCTCGGTCGTGACCAATGCATCTGTAACTCGTAATTCGATCGTTTGTTCCGCGTAATACATTCGCGCGCGTCGTGGACCTCTCCGACGATGTCATCCATCTTTGTTCGAACCCGAACGTTTGATGGAAGGCTCTTATTTCGACTCGCTAGGAGAAAACACTAGCTGGAAGTATCGAGTTTTATCATTTTGCTGAATATCTCTCGTCTGGCAATCAATTACCCGGTTATTTTGACTCTGATACTGTTTCGTACGCGAGCGATAGCAGTCTTCTGTTATTGAGCAATCAGTCTATATCAATAAATTTTCAGCTCTTTGAAGAAATTCGCGAAGAAAGATCGCCAAGAAAATCTACAGGCGACAATTACAATTTCCATCTCGGATTAAACTGAAGCAACGTCCAATTAATATATATTAATAATATTTTAGCTTTCGAACGACTGTGTGCGTTAAAATTTGCTACATCTCGTGTAAGAAACAAGCATAAGTGACGTCGCGTATGCTAAGATATCGTTACAGTTTTTACGCGTATTGATCTTCGTTCGAACGCGATTATACTTCCCGATATTACGAAAAAAAAAAAAAAAAACGCAAACAGCAAGATAAATCAAACGGAGATGGATAATTTCGCATTTACGACATGGTATTTTAATTAATTTAAAAATAATCAGCTAAACACTTGCGACACTTTGGCCCCAAGTCGAGATTAAACGTTTATCGTGCAAATAATTAAAACCTTCGGAGCACCAAAATTTAAGCTCTTTTGCACGACTTTCGGAATGGATCAGCAAAATTACGCTGCAACTTTCTATTATAGAAAAGCACCGATCGTCTTTGACTTTATCTTTTTACAAACAAAATATGTTAAATGATTTGAGAAGTCTTTGGAATTCTCCATCAATTTATATCTAAATCGCAAGTTGTTTGACGATGAAGAATTTAAAAAAATATTTTTTTTTTTTACCTACCTCGCTTGGAAAGACTACATATTTATTTTGAAGCACAATTTTATACATCGTTCCATTTTTAAAAGTTGGGAAATAGCTACTCCCCCTCCCAGAACGATCCCAGGCAGTACCAACATATGCCACACAGAAGGTTTCTCTAAACACATCTTTAAGATGCTATAACATTTCTCTTTAAAACAACAAAACATTTTGTAGAAATCCCCACTTGACAGTTCTCGAGGAAACAGCTGGTAACGCTTCACAAAGCTAACCCTATACTATTATTACCTTAATTAGAAAAGATCTATAGATCTATCCACTATTTATAACCACTGTGTATCCCCTAAATTAAAATTTTAATATGTATACGTAGAAATATAACGTTAGATCAGGCATTTTAAATTGTTTCCATATTAAATTCGACTGGAAACGAATATTCCAAGATGGCGTACAAGCTTTGGTACATCGCTGGATGAAACGTATCAATGTTCGAGGAGCCTACGTTAAAAAATGAAAGCAATTTAAAATTGAAAATAGTACGTTTTCGTTTTCAAGCCGCGAACATTTCGACCTTCGTTTTATATTATCAATATAAACGGCCCGCAAGTATCTTGGCCGGTCTCCAACAACAAAAATGTTTCCTCGAACCTCGGACGTCCGTCATGGAGGAATATTTAAGCTACAAAGAACCCTTAATTTTCGGTTAAAAATTCTAGATCACTACTTTAATGGTATCCTGGCAGAGACATCAACAGATTTACGGTGACTCTCACTTAAAATCGTACACCTAGTGGTTCAGCCGATATTTTTGTGAATAAAAAATTAAAATTGTACTTAATTATTGAAACTCATATAGGGGCATATAGTGTAATGTTTCGTTATTTAATACGTAACAACAATATAAAAAATACCTTTAGTATTACTCAGGAAATTAGATAAAATTTGAGGTTGCTAAATCAGCTGGATTCAATCGTTGCTAAGCTTACATAAAAAACAATTGGGGATTCACCGGATTTCCAATGTTACCAACAGTGTACGATTCTTATTGACAGCTATGTTTCATACGCAACCTCAAATTTCATTTAATTTACTGACTACTACTAAAAGTTTTATTGTATTGTTGTTACGTATCAAATAAAGAAACTTTACATTATACGAGGTGTTCGGTCAACCATGGGAAAAATTTTAATAGGAGATTCTAGGGGCCAAAATAAGACAAAAATCAAGAATACAAATTTGTTGATTGACGCTTCGTTTAAAAGTTATTAACATTTAATGTTGCGCCTGTAGAATGGCAATCTGTGAACAGCTGCGCGCGCACGATAGTGGTTCTCGCTGCTCACAGGTGGAACTTTAAACGTTAATAACTCTTTAACGAAGCCTCCATCAACAAATTCGTATTCTTGATTTTCGTCTTATTTTGGTCCCCAGAATCTACCATTAAAATTTTTCCCAGGGATGGTCGAACACCCTCCATACCTCTGTACGAGTTTCAATAATTTAGTACAATTTTCATGTTTTATTGACAAAAATATCGGCTGAACCGCTACGAGTACGAACCTGTACGAGTTTAAGTAGTCATTGTACTTGTAAATGTTATAATGCGCGTGCTTTCGGCTACGAAGATCGTTACAACATTACGTAGCGTACGGGTGTAATGCTGCATAATTCCATATCGGCGGAATGAGCCAGATCACGCGACTGGTTTTTGCCTCTCGATGAAAAACGAAAGGAACGAGGATCGGTCGGGCGGTCGGGTCGCGGCAGCATTTCGAATCGGTCTGGCCGATCCCCGTCTCAAGGATCGTCGGAGGACTATATAATCGTTTTAAGGACAGAGGCATGGAAGGCGAGATTCATTGACTAAAAGAGAGGGTGACGTCAGAGGACAAGTCGAACGAGAGGGCGGTCGCATTCTTCTGAAATTCCACCGTCTCGTTCCTGCGGGTAGAACATTTCCTGCTGCTGAACCGAACACAGCGCCTAGGAGGCAGTAACAGCGGCAAAAGGAGAAACGTTCCCGCAAGATCCGACATCCGTCAAGTATTTTTAGGATCCGTTTCGTGGAAATATCCCTGGTCCCCGATACGCGTCACAACAGCGACGCAGACGTACAGTTAATCCTTTCTATTGGGTTGTTCGAAAAGTTATTTCGTTTTTCTCCTTCGTGAAAAGGAACAAATTTCTTATAATATTAGGTCGGGGAAAAAGAAATCTATTATTTTCACGTCTATTTCAAGACTTTATTTTGCATGGTTCGGCCAACTTTGGGAAAAATTTTAATGGGAGAGTCTAGAGGCCAAAATAAGACGAAAATCAAGAATACCAATTTGTTGATTGAGGCTTCCTTAAAAATTTATTTACGTTTAAAGTTTCATACTGAGTGGACAATTTACGACGAAAAAGAAAAATTTCAAATCGTTCTGGAAAAATTATTTTCAGTTGCAGGGGTCAATTACAATCATTTTTGGTGGATAGACATACCCCCGAAATCTTACACAGTACCGAGAAAAAAATTCATTACCGAAAATATAATTAATGGCCAAAAATGTTACCCCAAAACTTCATGCAAATGTTCAAAACATCATAACTCTTGAACGGATTGGAGAATTTTAATATTTCAAAATGCAATCAACGTGTATTTTGGCGAAGAATATGTAGATATACCAAAACTATTCCAAAAGCTGTTCCTTAAACCCGTAAAGTAAGAAAAACCCCATAAAAATGGTCCAATTTTCAAACAGCCATAACTCCTACAGTAGTGA